CAATCTTTATTGTTTTCTGTATAAAAAAGTCCATCAGATGGAGGTCAGAGGGCTTGGGGGCAGATGCGCGTACAGGAACGGTGAGGTGTGCGGACCCGGCAGCCTCTTCACCTTCTCTTCAGCAGGCCTGCTCGGAGTCCTGGGCGATCCACAGGTCCAGGGGGAACAGTGAGAGGGGTCAGAGGCAGGAAACTCAGCGAGAGAGCGGAGGAGGGTCAGCAGAGGTCACGAGAAGGCCAGAATCCAGGGTCAGGCTGTCTGGAACAGGAAGCAAAATGGGCCGAGATGGAGCGAGCCCCAAGTATGCTTCCAAGACAACTCTCACCTCCCCCCAAGCACCCGGCTCCTTGCTGACCCGATCCCCTGCACGGTGTACCGGGGAACCTTCCCTTCCCAAGTCTCCGTACAAGGGAGGGGGCTCCTGTGGAGACCCTCCCCACCACTTCAGCTGGTGTGGGAGTGGGAGGAGGAGTCGAAGTTCAGTTTCTTGGCCGGAGGAGTTTCTCCCAGCCCTTCGATATCCACCAGGTCACTGTTGGCGTCCGAGTCGTTCAGAGCACTGAGTGTCACATCTGGGGGGGGGGGGGGGGGCGTAAGCTAGGTTCTAGGTTCTCCGACTGCCCCCCCCCCGCCCCCAGCTTCCCAAAGCTTCCAGCTGCCCCTCCCTCTGCCACCTCAGCCCCTCTCTGGGAACCTTGACAGGGAAAGGAAGAGAGATTGGTCCTTCTTTGACCCACCCCCCGGTTCTCTCCCTGGACCTCGGACGGGACCTTGGGCCCCCAGGCAGCAACTCCGCAGCCCTCACCAGCCTTCTGTTTCTTTATGGGGGGACCCCCGGCCTCAGCGACACTGGAGCTGCCTGGTGGAGGTGCAGCTGGAGGAGGGGAGAGGACACCAGACGGCATCTTCTTGGGCCCTTTCTTGGGCGACTCAGCTGGAAGGGGGATGCCAGAGTCTTCGTATACTTTGCGCTTCACGGTGGCCTTTATCTGGGCCCTGAAGAGAAGAGAGAGCAGGTTAGGAAGGGAGTCATCAGAGCGCTTGAGGGAAGAAGGGAGGGGAGGGGCAGGGGCAACGGGCCACTCTGAAGGAACACTGGGGAGCCCCTTCACGAGCATCACGGTTAGGGCCCCAACCGCTGGTAGGGTTCTTGTGTTTCCCCGAAGCTTTGCACACACTCAGGGCAGATGGAACGTGAAGAGTGGACTCCCTGAACTGCGTAGTGGGGAAGGCCCACATCCTAATTCTCCTCTGGGAGAGAGATGTGTGAGTGTGGAAGGCTACCAGGCAAGCCCTGGTGATCCACAGGCAGACTGAGACTTAGGAGCAGATCCCGCTCAACTAGTTCAGAGTCACAGTATCCCCAGAAGCACCACAGTAGCATCTTGAAGGAGCTGTGTAAACCACCAGGGAACTCCCATCACCAAATTCAACTGTTGGGCATCTCAGGCAACCCGAAATAAAAATTCTTGGAAGATCCTGGCTACCACAGCATTTCAGTAACTTCTGACCCACTCTCACTTAGTCTTCCAGGAGGTGCTTAACACAACTAACAGCCAGGTAGGAAAGCTTGCCGAGCTGGAAGGGAGTTCTCAGGCAGATGGCAGGTGGGTGTGGAGGAAGAGTGCCCACCCCCCTTCCTCTGCCGGCCACCCTCCCTCACACTGTCCGTTCCTTGATGACACAGCTGATGTGATTAAGATCGTCCCCAAACCGCTTCACCGCAGCCCTCAGCATCTCTATCTCCGTCTCCGTCCACTTGGCACTGTCAGAGGGGAGAGGGAGACAGGAAAGTGGGAAGAGGGGGGTGTGCGGCCAGCCCACAGGCTGTGCATATTCCACAGCCACCGGCCTCCTCCCCCCAGTCCCTGGGGCCCCTTCCGTGGGTCCCTAAATAGAGGGCTTCCTTAAAAAACAGAAGAGCAAAAAGCTCTGAGCGCCCTGTGGGAATCCTGAGGACCCCCAAACACACCTATCCCGACAGCCACGTTAGGAGAAAGCCTGTCCCCGAGCAGCGTGCAGCAGCGGCCGCAAGGAGCGCGCGGAAAGCAATCCCACCCGCGGGGCGTCTTACACACAGAACCCCGACCGCGGTGTGCAGCGCTCGGGTCATCCCGCCTATGCCCTGCGGTCGGCTCGCAGCACGGCAGAGCGGCGGCCCGGGTCCGGGTCCGGGTCCGGGTCCGGGTCGGGAGCCGCAGTCGGCCCTCCTGCGACAAGCGCTTCTTCACCGCCGCTCTGCGCGGTACCCGGCGCGGGGCACACTACCACCTGTCCCTGCCCTGCAGCGTCCGCGGCGGGGACCGAGTCGGCGCGCCGGCCCGGCTCACGTACCCCGCGGGGGAAGAGTCGGCCACGGGATGCAGCTGCATCGTCAGCTCCCCGAGCTTCGTGAAGGCGGCGCCCGCCGCGGAGAAGATCTCTCCGACCTGGGGGCGGGGCGGCGTCACGGGGGGCCGGCGCACACCCCCGCGCCGTCCCGCCCGGAGCCCCTAGCCCCACCCCAGCCGGGCTCGCTCCCGCCCGCCCCCCGCCCCGGGCGGAAGAGCCGGCACCGCCGGCGCGGGGTGGGGGGCCGCCCGCCCGTGGCCGCCAGGGAGCGCTGTCCGCGAGCGAGGCCGAACCTTTGTGGACGCTGACGTCATGGCCCTGCGCGCCTCCCCACGGAGGAGACGCTGCTGCTGCCGCCGCCGCCGCCGCCGCCGCCGCCTAGCCGGGGACCACGGAGCCGGGCAACCGAGCCCCTCGGGCCCGCGCGCAGGAAGTCCCGCCCCTCCCCGCAGCCGATTGGCTCCCCGCCGGCCGCTCCCCGCCTCGCCCGCCGCGGCGGCTTCGGCGGCGCCCGCGGAGCGAGAGCCGAGAGGGGAAGACGCCGCCTCACTTCCGGCCCGGCTTCACTCCACTTCCGTCGGCGGCCCGGGAGTCGCCGCGTGGAGGCCGGTCCGCAGCCCCGGTGCCCGCCCCCGGGCCCAAGCACAGACACACGGCTCAGGGGCGCAGTTTCACTTTATTGTGGAGGGACGGGGGACGGCCAGCCCCCGCCTCCCTCCGCGGGGGCCGGGCGCCGGACAAACCAGGGGTTCCGTCCCGCCGAGGGCGCCGGCATGGGGACGCGAGTGGGAGAGCGCGCGGGTGGGGACAGTCTTTAAAGAGGGGGGGGGGCTGGGGCCAGGGGGGACGCGACGAGGCGCTAGCGCACCATGTACTCCTTGCGCTTATTGAGCCGAACTTGGCAGAAAGAGAAGCCTCCGAGGAGGAGGTAAAGGCCCGCGGCGATGAAACAGTTGTAGCTGACTCGCTCGTAAAGTTCGTATATTTTCTGGGGGTCTTTCCTGGGGGTAGGGATTAGGTAAAGAAGTGTCAGAAGCATTCACAGCGGCCAACATTTCCTGGGCACTGTGTGCCACGCACCATCCTAAGCGCTTTTACACGTACTATTCAAGCTTTCCTAACCTAGTGGGGTGAGTTCTAGGACCGCATCCACCGGGCGGGAGAGGGGCGGCGGCACAGGGCAGTCAGGTAAAGTCCCCAGGAAGCCACATCTGGACTGGTGGGTTTAGGAGGGCCGCTGCGGCCCGAGTCCCGAGCGCGCTCGGGAGGAAAGCTCCGGGCGCTCAGTTCTCTAGCCTCCGGGGCCCAGGCATCCCGCCGCCCGCGATTCCCCCGCGCGACGACTGACAGCCTCAGCCGCCTCCCACCTGCCCCCAGCCCCGCCTCTCCCACCGGACTACTTACTCAAAATCTTTCTCGGTGAAAGGAACGTCCTCGATTAGCACAGCGGAATGGACATTGAAAAAGATTCCGAGCATTATCTGAAAAGAGGCAACGGATAGGTGTGCTGAACGCAGGCACCTCACCCGGTCACTCCCCAAGCCCCTCCCACGCCTACTGTTGCCACAACGTCTGGGGTTGGGAGCTGCCACCAGAACGAGCCGGCATTGGGGTGGCTGCTGCTGGATTCGGACTCAGTCACCAGGATTAGGGCGTGAGCTGGTGAAAGAGACGACTTGGCTGGTGCAAGGGCACGAACAGTGTGAGCAAAAGCTAGATCCTCCTCCTCTCCAGAGGCGTCATTATCACGGGACAGGGAGGAAGGGGTCGGGGAAATCAGCAGTTCTGAGGATTTCTTCCTAGACTGGGGCGGGTCGTCCTGGGGAAACAAGGCCCCAGCCGCCCATTTCGGGAACAAGCGCTCGCTCTCCCCACTGCCCTCCACTCAGCACAGGCATCTCTCAAGGACCCAGCTCTTCCCCCTCTTCCCCTGAGGGGTCTCCAGACTTACCGGCCGCGGCTCCCGTTCCCAGCTCCAGCTCCCCACCTCCCCCGCCCCGCTCCAGTTCCCCATTTCTCAATCTCCGTTGTCTCGCTCTCCAGCGGCGAACCAACCACCCCCTCCGGCCTGCCTGCTGCTAGTTTCTAAGGCCAGCAGTCTCCCAGCCTCCCAGCCCTCCAACGCCGGGGCCCCTCGGGCCCTGTCCGGCCGCCGCCGGGCGGTCCCCTCACCAACATGATCACTCCCCAGGCGCTGAGGACGATGCCGCAGGCGGCCAGCTTGGGCCCACAGCACAGAAGCGACGCCATGAAGAAGGGGGTCGGGGATCGCCTAGCTGCGGGCCGACCGAGCGGGAAGGCGGCGAGAGGAAGGCCCGGGTGCGCCCCGGGCGAGCGAGCTGGACTTCAGGGCTCGCGCGGCGGAGGACAGACCGACCGCCGGGAGCGCCGCCAAGGGGGCGTGGCCTCCGGCCCCAACCATAGCGCCGGGGGGGGGGAGACGCCGGGCGGCGGGGCGCCTCCGGGTCCTCCCGGATCTCCGGCGGGGGCAGGCGGTGGGTGAGGCCGAAGCAGCCCCTCAGGCACCCCTTAGAACCCACGTAGCTGGGGGGGCGGTATTGCAGGAGCAACCCCTCCCGTTTCTGGTTCCCCCCCCTCCAGGCTGGAATGGAAGGACCCAGCACGTCACGTGAGCGGACCGGGCGAGTCACGTGACGAGGACCCCGCAGACACCGGGCCTAGGGAGGGCGGAGGTCTGGCGGCCTTCTGGTTACCCTGGCGATGGGCTCTTAGGTGCGGAGGCTCGGAACTAGCCGCTTTCCCCCTCCGATACCTTAGTTTCGGGTGGTGGCCTGTGACGGGGGCCTGGTAAGTGAGACATGCAGATTTCCAGCGAGAAAGGACGCCCCCGTCTCCTGTCTTCCCATGCCTGCCTCGAAACAGAGACGTCCCGACCCCGGGAAAGGAGGAGCCCCTTCCCGGGGCCGAGCGCGCCGCCGTGGCCACAACGCTTTAAAATTGCCACGGGCCCCTAGCACCGGGAGTGCCTCGTGAAGTAACATTTTGTTACCAAACGTAGGAGGCTGAATCGTTTTGGAGGCCGAAATCCGGGGGAAAATGCGGGCGCTAGGAAAAGTGCGGGGGGAGCAGACCCAGTGTGAACAAGTTGTGAGGGTGAGCGGTCTTGCTAAATGTGTCGGAGAGAGGAGTGAGTACACAAAGATGTCGCTTTGCCTCCCTGTTGTAAACCAGAGAAACCGGGCATAGGTCCTTTGAATAAGGGAGGGTACAAGATTTTTTTTTTTTTTTAAATGTGAACAGGTCACCGTCTCCAAAGAAAAAGTCTGTGTACTTCGCCGGTGAGAGGCAGCTTTGTAATAATTATTTAGGGAAATAGGGTGTTTGCAGAACACAGTTTTGCCCTGAGCTTGTTGTACACGTTCTGGTGAGGACCAGGATCGCAGCATAATTGAGAGGGGCCATTTGAATCCCAAGACCCCAGAACCACACAAAGAGACACTGTCAGCGATGAACATAACTTTTTGGCATTTTTCCCCCCATTTATTTTATGCATATCATTCTTAAACAGGTTGTGACAGAGAGCTTGGATCCAGGGAAACACCTGTAGACCCCAGGATACTACTACAGGGGCTGGGAAAGGGGCGTTGGGACACGAATTTGGTGTCTCGTTTGCTTGAGACTGCCTGGGGGAAGGAAGCCATCCTGGGATGGCAGGTTTCTGTTCTGCCCAGGAGCACCGTTCTTATTCGACTACTTTGGGGTCGGTGTGTATTCGAATAAGGGGAATGGGGTGGTGGGAACGTTGCCAAAGCTCAAGAGTCAGGAAGTTTCAGTTTGGCCACCGGTGCAGGAAATCTAGCTCCTGGGAAAGGAGAATTAGTTGAGGTAGTTGATTTATGCAATTAATCTTCCCCGTCCCACCTCAGAGCATTCTCTGGGTGTTTGTCCAGTAGGGTCAGTGCGTCAGGCTAGTGTGGAGTAGCCTGGTGCGAATACTGCTCCTGATGGTCAGATCCAGCGCACAGCCTATGCCTGTCCCTCTAGCAAAGCACAGATTCTCTTTGCATTTTTACACCGTTGACCAACCCAAAAGGAGAGTATTTTGTGACACGTGCAGTTCCTAATTCACCGCTCATAAGTAAAGTTTTACGGGAACATGGTTGCACTCCTTCACTTATATATCGTCTGTGGCTGCTCTCGTTCTCTCTCGGGGAAGTTAAAGTAGTTGTGACAGAGACTGTGCAGCCTACGAAGCCTAAAATATTTATTATCTGGCCCTTTACAGGAAAGGTTTGCTGCCCACCCCCTGAGCGAGTGGGGTACTGATGGAGGGGGATTTGGTTGGGGGAGAAAACAGAGCTTTAGCAGCAGAGTCTTTGGAAACCATGACATTCAAGATGGAAATGTTAGTACTGGAGCTGATCTACAGTCTTGCAGGTGGGGGTGCCACGGGCCTCAGATGGTGACACTGTTCTCTATGTGGCTGGGCTTCAGGTAGTCATAGGGCAGGTCGAGTTGCTCATTCCGGGCTGTAATCTCTCTCTCTAGGTCTTCCAAGTCCGTTTGGAATTGGTTTAATACAGCCTTGGCCTTGGGGCTTGAGAAATATTTTTCTTTGTGATGCCCCAGAGGCACCTAGGAAAGGACAAAGGATCCATCAGTTTCTAGGCCAGAGGCAGAAGCCTGGAGCGCCCAGCCCCTCACTCCGATGTTGCCCTTCCAACTGTAATTTTTCCCTTTTCCCAGAGTCCCCTCTTACCATGTCTGGCTGGCGGCGCCCCAGATGCCACGTGATGGTCATTTGAAGACAGGCCTGTCGGACATCAGGTAGTGAGCCCATCACCGTGGTCATTGTTACATCTTCCTTGGTGGTGGGTGGGGGCATCCTCATTGTGCATGGGGCATTAGGGACCCAGGCATACCAGTCCAGCTGGGGGAAGAAACTGCAACCCTAGGATCCTGATACTTATGCTTTGAACCCCTGTCTTTCCCTTAGGAATCCCAAGGTCCATACACTTGCCTTCAGGGACCTGGGCTTTCGGCTGTCATACCTGGCCCTGGTTGATGGCCCCGTGCTGAGCAGTGCATGTGAAGACACACATGGTAAGGAAATGGCAGAGTTGCTTCTGGGACTGGAAGGAGACAGGGAAACCTGGCAGAGAGGAACAGGATTTAGGGGCTCCGGCGTGAGAGGAGAGAGATGAAGGTGAGTGCCTTGGATGTCTGTACCAGTCGGGTTCACACTGCACGGGTCCGTTTAGGTGTGGATTTTTTACGGTGTGGTACATAAATGTATTTTCTTTTCCTTACAATTTCCTTCGTCTTTTATCTAGTTCATTTTACTGTTAGAATATAGTTTATAAGGCACATGGCATACGAGCTCGGGGTGAATTGACTAAGTTATTGGGAAGGCTTTTGGTCAACAGTAGGCCCTTAGTAAAGTTTTTGGGGAGTCAAAAGCTATAAGCAGATTTTTGACTGCTCGGGGTGTGTGGGGAAGGGTTGGTGCCCCTAAACACCTCCTCCCCCCACCCCCGCACTGTTTGAGGATCAACTGTGTTTTGGCATTGATGGGTGTCTGTTCATTTGTTTATTTATTCAAATATATTTGCATTAGACCTGAGTTTCAATTCAGGTTCAAGCAATATAATCTGGGTGTCTTAGGCTGATTACTTAACCTCTCTGAACTTCCATTTCTTCGCCTGTAAAATGTGGGTGATTCCTACCTTATAAGTGAGATAATGTATTGAAATCACCTAGTCCATAACAAATGCTTGGTAAATAATAATTACTGTCATTATGGAAGGGTTGGGGGCTGAAAAGGTCTGAGTGATTGAATATCTTCTGTCTCAAACAGTGGTTAAGAATTTAGAGACGTTTCCTCAGGGAATTTGTAAGTGCCTGAGTTATATAGTGAGGGACGGGAGAGGTCGAGTATTTCTAGTGTCACAACCAAGAGAGGCTTTCCACACAGGTTATTTCGGGCCACTGATTCTACAGTGGAGGTGGTGCCTCAGAGCCACTGATCCTATCAGTTAAGAGGAACAAATATAATCACTGCCTTTCTATGGATTAAAAAAAAAAATCAAAAGCCCAGAGAGATAAAACCGCTTGTCAGGATTGCATAGTCAGGAAAAGGCAGAGGCTGACCTTGAACTCGGGTTCCTGACTGCCCCTTGCAAGCTATTTTTAATTTTAGCACATTTCCTCTAGAAAGGCTGTTGGGAAAATTAGGCAAAGTGCGCGATGAGAACTGAGGCGGGTGGAGGAAGAGAGGATGAGAGGCAGTTGGTAGAGATTAAAGCTGACATGTGAATGTTTATTTTTGTTTTCCAAATGTAGAGAGTGGCTGGGGAGAAGAGGAGCAGGGAGGGAGAGGAAGAAGGGTGTTCTGGGGGCCTGGGGGACCTGAGGGACAGTTCTGAGGTCTCCAAGACAAAGTTTGGGCCCGGAAGGGTGAGTGCAGGTGTTGGTTTATTGCTGGCCGCGTCCCTGGGGCCTGGCCGTTGGTGGCTCCCCCCAGTAAACGTCTGGAGTTGCCCCGCGGAGGCAGAGGTGCTGCGTGAAGTGTGAGGGGCAGTACCCCTAGAAGGATGTAAAGCCATCCCTGCTGGCCCATGTGTGCTGGAGAGGGGAGGACAGACCTAGCAAGGGCTCGAGAAAGGCTGTTCCTTTCAGCCTTAGGTTAAAATGCAGGCGGGGGTGCTCCAGGTGGTGGCTAGAGCCTAGCCGAGTGGAGGGGAGGCTGGACTGGCCCCAGAAATGTGGCCCCAAGGGGCCGTGCACGGGCTTCCAGTTGGTACCAGAGCACGGACAGTACTGAGTGTGCGCGGGACGTGACTGGGCAGTGTGGGACATGTGCAGTGAGCCCAGAACAGTGTGTGTGTGCTGGACAGTAGTGGGCAGGAGGGGCAGGGAGGGAAAGCAGTGTGGGACATGATGGGCTTTGCAGGAAGCTTTTCCCGTGTATCTCTATCCTCACGCGAGAAAACAGACAAGGAGATGAGGAGGAGAGGAGCCCCAGCAGGGCCTGGGCAGATCCCTCCCTGGCTGTGGTTCTGGTCTTGTTGGGCTCCATGCTGTGGCAGATGAGGGCCATGTGTGCCTGGGGCTCGGGGATGACAGTGGAGGATGATGGCCAGGGTCTCTGAGGAGGGCACCCCCCCCCCCCGGTATCTGGAATTGCCTTGAGTCTTAGGAGGTGGGAATGGGATTCAGATGCTTCCTGTGTGGCTGAAAAGGGGGGTGTGATGAGGGGTTGGGGTCCTAAACCTAGAGGGGCAGGACCGAGAAGGGGCTCTGGGCAGAGGGTCCCAGGGGCTCCCGTCCCCGGGGAGGGATCCTACCTCGGTCCTGGGCCTGGCACAGCCCCACCTCAGTGATCTCCCGACACCAGGCCTGCAGCTCCGGGTCCCCTCTCACGATGTCATCCCTGTGGTAGAAGAGGTGGACGATGCCCTCCACGTACCTGCCCAGAGGGGAAGGGGGTGAGTTTCCTGAGAGAAGAACCTCTGCTCCTCTCCTGCGGCCTCTGCCCGGCTGACTCCCACTGTGTCTGGGGACAGATCTTACGAGACTGGTCTCTGGGGACATTCCCTAGCTCTTTCTAAACACTAGTTTAGAAAAGAAGGAAACCGTTTAAGAATTCGTTTTGAGGAATTCCGGACCCATGGCTGAAAGGCATTCTCCCTGACAAGCTCCCTGACCCCCCCCAGAGCCCGTGGTTTGCCCACCCACAGCTTTACCTACCCACACTTCCGGTTTCAGTCTGCCCATCTTCAGACCCTTCCCCAGTGCTTCCTGACTCTCCCTTGTCGCCCCAGGGTTGAGCTCCTGCTCCTCCCGTCGGGCCCTTCTTGGTTCCGTGTGGGGTTTGGCCCCATGCTGACCTCAGGCTGGAGCCCCGATCTCCCCTGCCCCGGCGAGGCTCCCTTCGTCAGCTGTCACCCTCACCCACCGGGCAGTGATCCCCCAGAGCCGTAAAGCATCATGGGCGTAGAGGGCACTTGGGATTCCCAGCAGGCCCCGGTCAGCCAGGTTGTCGGGAGGACAGAGGGAGTGGTAGGTCAGCTGAGCCATGGCCCGACGCAGCAACTGCACGTGGCCCCCTCCGCCGGTGCTCACCGCCTGCCACAACAGAGACGAGAGGCCGTGCGGGACAGGACGGAGCGGAGCGGAAGGGGCTCAGAGGGCGGGCTTGCATATTTCCAGACATGGGTGGGAAGGGCCAGGCTCATGGGCTTAAGGGCCAGGACGTTCCCCCAGGTCGCTCTGGGGTCCTGAAAGTGGCAGGAGGTCACCAGAGAGCTGGGTGATGAGCAGCCCCGCCCCTCAGCGCCCTTATTACCACCTCACCTTATCAAATATTCCTCCTTCTGAGATGAGCTGGGATCTGGCCCGGGTGTTGATTTCCATGGTGTAGCGGATGTGCGGGATCAGGAGCTGGGGTGGAGGAGGTTGGAGGGGGTAGTTATGGAGGGCACGCTGGGTCCTTTGTTGTGGAACCCCCCGCTGGGCCGTTAGGTCCCTCTATTTAGCTGCTGTCACGCTGTCAAGCTTTGTTGTTCTGTCCTTTCACGACCCCACCGTGGAGCTCTCGTTGTCCCCATTTAGAGATGAGGGCACTGAGTGTGCATCTGGGAGGAGGTCAGGATTCCGGATTCGCTCCCCAGCATCCGAATCCAGAGCCTGCCTGCGCTCGGAGCCTTTGTGACACGAGCAGCCTTCGATCTCCGTAGGGCTGCTAACAGCCCAGCCGTCCGCCATGGGACCAAGTCGACAGAGGTGGGGACAGGGCTGACCTGATGACGGGGGATCGCGAGCACGAATAGAAGCCCAACCTATTCCCAAAGAGCAAAAGATGGTGACGCAGGAGCGCCCCGAGAGCCACAGAATCCACGATTCTGTGGCACACACTGGTCTCCATCTGGTCTGTGTTGTCCTCGACTCAGAGAAGCCACAGATCCTAGTGGCCAGGCTGGGGGGGGGGGCAGTGTCGGGAAGCCTCCAGCTGAAACCCCCCAGCAGAAACTCACGTGCATGTGTTGCCAACATTTCACCTCCTTGCACCTGAGACGGAAGCCCTTGTCTTTGCTTCCGGACTGGCTCTCCTCCTGAGTGTGCTGTTTCTGACAGTTACCCTGGGTTTGTCCCTTCTCTGCCTCGTCCCTCTACCTGAAGTGTCGTCAAGACGTTGAGAACATTTGCACGCCAACTACAAGTCTTATTTTGCTGCCTTCTGCCTAGCAATGGATACTCAACTCACTTTTTTATCAAATTTCAGTATTTCTAGGTCATTACAACACCCCCACCCCGTGGACCTCTGGCCTTTCTTTCTCCGGTCTGATACCGG